TGAGGGCACAAAAAATTTTATTGATTTAACTTAAGATAACTAAAGAAAGTCAAACACTGTGACTTACATTTAATCAGAGAAGATATTGTCCACTTATTCCACAGAAAGTAATTTGAATAATAAAACTGGCATCAAGAGGTTGTTCCCCTTTAGGAAAATACACTAGCACTAAAAGTTTAAAGTCAACCATGTGTATTTTCCAGTTACTGCACAAAATCCAGCAAAATTTTAACCCAGTAAACATTTCATCCATTTCATATAGTGCATCAGCCATTGGATATTGATGCTGTTAACAATTGTAAACTTTTAATCAGAGGAAATCGATAAACTCATAGGGGTCATATAGTACCTGTGAAATAGAGGTATTCAAAGGTGATCCAGACAATGGTCCAGTTCCTTGGATCGAGAGCCCCTCACCAACATCAAAGCAAAATGGCATCTGCACACTCCATTAAATATAGTGTACCAACCTTCTTGTAAGTAGGATACATTAGTGTTGAAATTTTAAAGCTGGTCAGAGGAACCTTTCTCTAGTTATCACACAAATCGAACTTGAGAATGGCCTATGTAATATTGTGCATAGGGCACCCATGCCTACAAAATAGTTGCAGGAATCTTGCCCAAGATACATTACACCAGTGATGAAAATTTGAAGCCGATCAAGTGAGGCATTCTCAAGTAATAGGGTGGATAGGGAAGCCATGTGGCAGGTGTTGCAACTGTTTGAAATAGGAGGTAGCTTACTAAAAGCTGTTATGAGTTTTTATAGAGAGAGTGAAGCTCTGATTAAGGTATGTAGGAAGGAGAGAGACTATTTTCCAGTGAAAGTAGGACTTCAATAGGGATGTGTGATATCACCATGGTTGCTTAACTTATTTATAGATAAGGGTGTAAAAAAAGGGGAATGCTGGTGTTGAGGATGGGTGTGGGTTTTAAATATGCTGGATGTGATATAAACTGTCATCTTTGCTGATGACAGTTCTTTTGGGGGATTATGAAGAAAAGTTCCAAAAGCTCATTGGAGAAATTTGGAAGGGTATGCAAAAGAAGGAAATTAAGAGTGAATGTAGAATCATAGAATATATGAAGGGAAAAAGGTAGATAGTGTGTTGAGGCATTTGTGGTAAGAAAAAAGTTTATAAAGGTAAAAAAGGGAATGTACCCGAGTAAAGTGGTACCAACACTTTTGTATAGGTGGAAAGCATGTATGTGTATTGAATGCTGCAGTGAGAAAGAGGCTAGATGCAGTGATATCTTGATGATGAACAATGTGTGGTATGAATGTCAGAGCGTAGAAATTAAAAACAAACGAGAGGTGACCAAGGGTATAATTCAGAGGGCTGAGGTAGCACTGTTAGGGTGGGTTGGGCATGTAGACACAGTAGAGAGGAAAAGGTTGATATGGAGGGTGTATAAATCTGGGGGTCGTCCCAGGAATGGTTGAAGTGAGGAGGTAAAAGAGGCTTTGAGTTTTAGGGGCTTGAGCATCCAGCACACTTGTGTGTGTGTTAGATAGGAATGAATGGAGCCAAGTAGTTGTTAATGGACATTGCTGTTGGAGTGTGAGAAAGGTAACTTTTCTGAGGGATTCATAAGAACTGGTTAGCTGGAATTAAATCCTGGAGGTGGTAAGGGCAATGTCTGCACTCCAATGGCATGGGGATGCTAGAGTCAGAAGGGAATCCGAATTGTGATGTGAGCACACTTCTCAAAAGATGTTAATTAAATGAATGATGGTGAATGTTTTCTTTGGGTCACCCTCCCCGTGGTGGGAGGTGGCCATTAAGGTAAAAAAATTATTCCAAAATAAAATTGAGAAAAATATAAATCTTTACCCATATTTTTTTTAAATCTATATTTGTTATACAGTTTGTATTAAATCAATATAAATGAACCTCACATGTATAACATGAACATGTGCAAAAAAATGAATTTGACAAACACTGTAGAAAAGAGTAATTAAAAATAATATCTTGAGCTGTCTTCTCAGCAGGTGGTTCCGTACCACCTGTGTTCATTATGTATAGTCAGCATCATCTCAGCAGGTGGTACTGTATACCACCAGTGTTCATTATGTATAGTCAGCATCATCTCAGCAGGTGGTACTGTATACCACCAGTGTTCATTATGTATAGTCAGCATCATCTCAGCAGGTGGTACTGTATACCACCAGTGTTCATTATGTATAGTCAGCATCATCTCAGCAGGTGGTACTGTATACCACCAGTGTTCATTATGTATAGTCAGCATCATCTCAGCAGGTGGTACTGTATACCACCAGTGTTCATTATGTATAGTCAGCATCATCTCAGCAGGTGGTACTGTATACCACCAGTGTTCATTATGTATAGTCAGCATCATCTCAGCAGGTGGTACTGTATACCACCAGTGTTCATTATGTATAGTCAGCATCATCTCAGCAGGTGGTACTGTATACCACCTGTTTCATTATGTATAGTCAGCATCATCTCAGCAGGTGGTACTGTATACCACCTGACTTCATTATGTATAGTCAGCATCATCTCAGCAGGTGGTACTGTATACCACCAGTGTTCATTATGTATAGTCAGCATCATCTCAGCAGGTGGTACTGTATACCACCAGTGTTCATTATGTATAGTCAGCATCATCTCAGCAGGTGGTACTGTATACCACCAGTGTTCATTATGTATAGTCAGCATCATCTCAGCAGGTGGTACTGTATACCACCAGTGTTCATTATGTATAGTCAGCATCATCTCAGCAGGTGGTACTGTATACCACCGTGTTCATTATGTATAGTCAGCATCATCTCAGCAGGTGGTACTGTATACCACCGTGTTCATTATGTATAGTCAGCATCATCTCAGCAGGTGGTACTGTATACCACCTGTCTTCATTATGTATAGTCAGCATCATCTCAGCAGGTGGTACTGTATACCACCTGACTTCATTATGTATAGTCAGCATCATCTCAGCAGGTGGTACTGTATACCACCAGTGTTCATTATGTATAGTCAGCATCATCTCAGCAGGTGGTACTGTATACCACCAGTGTTCATTATGTATAGTCAGCATCATCTCAGCAGGTGGTACTGTATACCACCAGTGTTCATTATGTATAGTCAGCATCATCTCAGCAGGTGGTACTGTATACCACCAGTGTTCATTATGTATAGTCAGCATCATCTCAGCAGGTGGTACTGTATACCACCAGTGTTCATTATGTATAGTCAGCATCATCTCAGCAGGTGGTACTGTATACCACCAGTGTTCATTATGTATAGCCAGCATCATCTCAGCAGGTGGTACTGTATACCACCTGTCTTCATTATGTATAGTCAGCATCATCTCAGCAGGTGGTACTGTATACCACCTGACTTCATTATGTATAGTCAGCATCATCTCAGCAGGTGGTACTGTATACCACCTGTCTTCATTATGTATAGTCAGCATCTCAGCAGGTGGTACTGTATATCACCTGTCTTCATTATGTATAGTCAGCATCATCTCAGCAGGTGGTACTGTATACCACCTGTCTTCATTATGTATAGTCAGCATCATCTCAGCAGGTGGTACTGTATACCACCTGTCTTCATTATGTATAGCCAGCATCATCTCAGCAGGTGGTACTGTATACCACCTGTCTTCATTATGTATAGTCAGCATCATCTCAGCAGGTGGTACTGCATACCACCTGTCTTCATTATGTATAGTCAGCATCATCTCAGCAGGTGGTACAGTACCACCTGCCTTCATCATGTATAGTCAGCATCATCTCAGCAGGTGGTACTGTATACCACCTGTCTTCATTATGTATAGTCAGCATCATCTCAGCAGGTGGTACAGTACCACCTACCTTCATCATGTATAGTCAGCATCATCTCAGCAGGTGGTACAGTACCATCTGCCTTCATCATGTATAGTCAGCATCATCTCAGCAGATGGTACAGTACCACCTCCCTTCATTATGTATAGTCAGTATAGGTTATGTTCCTAGTGGTCCACTAAACAATACTGTACAGTACTAAATTGTTCCCTTGATAAATTTTGTTCATTTTTTGGCTCATTTTGTGTAGTTATAGCATGGAGAGGCCATTTATCTTGTATAACATGGAGAAGCCATTAGTATATTTCTGTTATTATAGAATGGAGAAGCCATTTAGTATATGTTTTATAACATGGAGAAGCCATTTACTATATTTCTGTTATTAAAGAATGGAGAAGCCATTTAGTATATGTTGTATAGCATGAAGAAGCCATTTAGTATATTTCTGTTATTAAAGAATGGAGAAGCCATTTAGTATATCTGCTATTATAGCATGGAGAAGCCATTTAGTATATTTGTTATATAGCATGGAGAAACCATTTAATATATTTGTTGTAGCATGGAGAAGTCATTCAGTATATCTGTTATTATAGCATGGAGAAGCCATTTAGTATGTCTATTATAGCATGGAGAAGTCATTTAATCTTTCATTATTTTAGCTTGGAGAAGCCATTTAGTATATTTTGAATTAAATAATATTGCTAGTTTCAATTTAGGGTTGTATGCTAATCTCCCATGAATGGGCATCATGAAAACTCCAGTGAATAATGGAATTGGTAAAACAATTGGATATGCCAGGATGCAGTAAATGAAAAACCCCGTGAATATAGGGGTTTGACTGTGTGTGTGTAATGGAAATGTGTATTGGATATTAGATTTTTTAAATGTTTACCTTGATTGCAGTACTCGAACTCTTCTGAGGAGGAGGGGGGGAATGCCTTGATGTTGTGAAATGACTTTTGCTCCAAGGAATTGGAGCTACCCTTCAATTATGTCAAACAAATTACCTTCTATTTCTCAGATGCTGTATATCCCTATGGGTTTAGTGCTTATCAGTATAATAACAATTGGGTATTTTAGCTTATTTTCAAGAAATTCATTTTGTATCATTGTTAATTTGTTTAATTATTTTGCTTAAGAAAAAAGTGTACAAGGAAGTGTGATCATTACTTGTTTATATTTTTCTTTTCAGTTTTTTGGCAGGTCCCGGAGCCCAGGAGTGGGCAGCTTCGAACAACGTGGAAACCTGTCAGCCGGGAGACTTGATTGCTGGTGAGTTCATCTCCCTTCATAACACAAAGTTTAGTGGCAAGAGTGCATCAGTTGATCACATAGCTACAATCTGACTAGGTGTTTAATATTGACAAGACAGGGCTATATTGGAAGTATATGCCATCAAAAACTTGTATTAGCAAGCAAGAAAAATAAAAGGACACAAGTCCAACTACTGTGACATTTTATTCTAGCAACGTTTCGCTCTTCAGGAGCTTTGTCAAGCTGTAATGGCTTGACAAAGCTCTTGGAGAGCGAAATGTTGCCACAATAAAATGTCACATTAGTTGCACTTGTGTTCTTTTACTTTACATATTGTTGGTAATTCTACCAACTTATATACAAGCAAGAAAAATTTGTATGTGGCTTCAAGGCAGGTAAGAATCACTTCAGCATTCTTCTCAAATACAGCAAATGATTTCAAGTGCAAACCTGTGCTAATTTACTGTGCAGAGAATTCCCATGTTTTAAAAGATCAAGCCATAACCTTTTTACCTGTTCCTTATTGATCTAACAAATGTGGATGATTGAGATTCTTGTTTGTTCAATGGTTCAAGAATTATTTTATTATTGCAGTGAAGATGTATAGTAGCTTGCAAGAAAGAACCTTGCATTCAAGGTTCTCCTTATTCTTGATAAATCCCATTGCCTTCTTCCAATCTTGCAGTATGTAGACCCCAATGTGAAGGTCAGGATTTTACCATCCTATACTACATCTTTGATACAGCCACTGCATTAATGAAACTTACTAGCATAAGTGCTACTACATACACAAGGCAGCTAATGGAAAAACTCATCGTAGAAATGGATAACATCTCTGAGACTGCCATACCAGAGTTCTGACATTAATTTAACACAGTAGATACACTTATGCACATAAGTGTGTCATGCAATGAAGTGCCTTAATGAGCCATAAATGCTGGCTGGGGTGACTTATGGTCTTGTGTGGTCAGTAAGGTTTCTGGTCTCCCTCAGTAAGGAGTCAGGTTCAGGAAATTCTCTCTCTGGCAAAAACTGTGAGACATGAGGACTTAGAAGTTATTCATGAAGAAGATGTTAATAAACTGTTAGAAGAGGATGACAAAGAAGTGAATGCAGAAGAATTGCTTGAGGAGTTCATCTTCCAGGAAAGAGAGAGAGTGGTAGGTAGGTAGGTAGGTGAGGAAAGGTAACCAGGAGAGGCACTGTTAACACTGCAGCAGTTAGGTAAACACTTCATGTTATTTATAAATTTGCAGATATTTTCACTGAAAAGAACCCTGAAACATCCAAAAGGATTGCTTTGAAGTGGGGTCTGGAGAAGATGATGATGCTTAATAATCAGCCCTATAAAGTACTGCAGGGTAAAACAGATCAGAGATGCATTATATGAGTACTCCATTACAACCATCAACTAGTGACAATTCTGCAAGCCATATGAGCACAAGAGGCAGAACCATCCATCTCAGCCCACTAGGGCCACATCAACCCTCTCCATGCACTTCCAAGTCAATAAGCCATGACAACTTAATATACAGTAAGATATTATACAATAATTGTTACCTAGTAAAATTTAAAAAAAAAAGGTGTTTGGTAAATTTTGAGGTGTGAGGAACATAGCCTTATTTTCCTACATGTTCTTCACTTTGTATAGCTCTGTTTTTCACAGGAACTGGTTCTTATGAGAGGGTTTACTGTATACACAATTATGTATTCTCTAAGTGTGATTGCGAGTTTAAATTTAGAATGTTCAGTACTTAGATTAAACACAAAGCTTATTAGTGATATTTCTTCTTTCTTATTTCTTTTTCAGAGAGATCTCAGCGTATACACGAGGAAAGTCTGCGCAACATTCAAAGACTTCAAGAAGGTGGAGGTAAACGACGAAGATATGCTTTGCCTGAAGAAGAGGAGGAAATGCAGGTTGGTGATGATAAACTGTTTGATTCTTGATAGCCAGATTGTAGCAACACTTGAATTACAGGTACACAACTGATTTTCTAGCAGCAGATGGTCCGGCACCTTTAGTCCGGACAAAATTACAAGCAGGAACTTGGAATTCCTGTGCCCACCAGACAAATTTACTGGGAAGCCTACAGATGGTGTTGAGTGTAGCTGTGCTCATGTGGATTGTTTGCACTGCATTTGCTGGTGGTGATATCTTCATTTTACTAGAGCAACATACCACCTTTATGGAACAAGAAAGAATTAAGAGTAAGATGGAGAATAGGATAGCAGATGAACAAGGAGGCTTTAGGAAAGGTAGGGGGTGTGTGGACCAGGTGTTTACAGTGAAACATATAAGTGAACAGTATTTAGATAAGGCTAAAGAGGTCTTTGTGGCATTTATGGATTTGGAAAAGGCATATGACAGGGTGGATAGGGGGGCAATGTGGCAGATGTTGCAGGTGTATGGTGTAGGAGGTAGGTTACTGAAAGCAGTGAAGAGTTTTTACGAGGATAGTGAGGCTCAAGTTAGAGTATGTAGGAAAGAGGGAAATTATTTCCCAGTAAAAGTAGGCCTTAGACAAGGATGTGTGATGTCACCGTGGTTGTTTAATATATTTATAGATGGGGTTGTAAGACAAGTAAATGCGAGGGTCTTGGCAAGAGGCGTGGAGTTAAAAGATAAAGAATCACATATAAAGTGGGAGTTGTCACAGTTGCTCTTTGCTGATGACACTGTGCTCTTGGGAGATTCTGAAGAGAAGTTGCAGAGGTTGGTGGATGAATTTGGTAGGGTATGCAAAAGAAGAAAATTAATAGTGAATACGAGGAAAGAGTAAGGTTACGAGGATAACAAAAAGATTAGGTGATGAAAGATTGAATATCAGATTGGAGGGAGAGAGTATGGAGGAGGTGAACGTATTCAGATATTTGGGAGTGGACGTGTCAGCGGATGGGTCTATGAAAGATGAGGTGAATCATAGAATTGATGAGGGAAAAAGAGTGAGTGGTGCACTTAGGAGTCTGTGGAGACAGAGAACTTTGTCCTTGGAGGCAAAGAGGGGAATGTATGAGAGTATAGTTTTACCAACGCTCTTATATGGGTGTGAAGCATGGGTGATGAATGTTGCAGCGAGGAGAAGGCTGGAGGCAGTGGAGATGTCATGTCTGAGGGCAATGTGTGGTGTGAATATAATGCAGAGAATTCGTAGTTTGGAAGTTAGGAGGAGGTGCGGGATTACCAAAACTGTTGTCCAGAGGGCTGAGGAAGGGTTGTTGAGGTGGTTCGGACATGTAGAGAGAATGGAGCGAAACAGAATAACTTCAAGAGTGTATCAGTCTGTAGTGGAAGGAAGGCGGGGTAGGGGTCGGCCTAGGAAGGGTTGGAGGGAGGGGGTAAAGGAGGTTTTGTGTGCGAGGGGCTTGGACTTCCAGCAGGCATGCGTGAGCGTGTTTGATAGGAGTGAATGGAGACAAATGGTTTTTAATACTTGACGTGCTGTTGGAGTGTGAGCAAAGTAACATTTATGAAGGGATTCAGGGAAACCGGCAGGCCGGACTTGAGTCCTGGAGATGGGAAGTACAGTGCCTGCACTCTGAAGGAGGGGTGTTAATGTTGCAGTTTAAAAACTGTAGTGTAAAGCACCCTTCTGGCAAGACAGTGATGGAGTGAATGATGGTGAAAGTTTTTCTTTTTCGGGCCACCCTGCCTTGGTGGGAATCGGCCAGGTGTGATAATAAAATAAAAATAAAAATAAATATATATATATATATATACAGTGACACCGGTTAACGATATTTTTTCACTCCAATATAGTTACGTGCCATACTGACCGAATTTGTTCCAAATAGAAGTATGTGAAGTAGATTTGTCCATTGCAGACCTCCAAACATGACACGTAACAAACGCACATTTACATAAATACACTTTACATATTGGTCCACATTCGGAGGTGATCCTTATGCGGGGTCCACTGTATATAAAATAATATATATATAAATATATATATATTATATACTTAAAATATATAATATAATATATAATATATAAATATTATATATAATTATTTGAATATTGCAAAGATTAGACAGAGTATCTTGCTACTTTCTACTTACACTATGTCACACTACACATACATGTAATGTGGAGTTTATAACACACATCTGAGTTTTCTGTTGATTTTATCTTAATAGTTCTTGGTCTTATTACTTTTCCTTTATATCCATGGGGAAGTGGAATAAGAATCTTTCCTCCGTAAAGCCATGCGTGTTGTAAAAGTCAACTAAAATGCCGGGAACAATGGGCTAGTAACCCCTTTTCCTGTAAAGATTACTAAAAAGAATAAGAAGAAGAAAATTGTCAAAGTGGGAAGTCTGAATGTGCGTGGATGTTGTGCAAATGATAAGAAAGAGATGATTGTGGATGTTTATGAATGAGAAGAAACTGGATGTCCTGGCTTTAAGTGAAACAAAGCTGAAGGGGGTGGGAGAGTTTCAATGGAGAGGAATAAATGGGATTAGGTCAGGGGTTTCAAATAGAGTTAGAGCTAAAGAAGGAGTAGCAATAATGTTGAAGGATAAGCTATGGCAGGAAAAGAGGGACTACAAATGCATAAATTCAAGGATTATGTGGAGTAAAATAAAGATTGGATGTGAAAAGTGGGTTATAGTAAGCGTATATGCACCTGGAGAAGAGAGAAGTGTAGAGGAGAGAGAGAGATTCTGGGTAATGTTGAGTGAATGCGTGGGGAGTTTTGAATCAAGTGTGAGAGTAATGGTGGTTGGGGATTTCAATGCTAAAGTGGGTAAAAATGTTATGGAGGGAGTAGTAGGTAAATTTGGGGTGCCAGGGGTAAATGTAAATGGGGAGCCTTTAATTGAGCTATGTGTAGAAAGAAATTTGGTAAAAAGTAATACATATTTTATGAAAAAGAGGATAAATAAATATACAAGGTATGATGTAGCACGTAATGAAAGTAGTTTGTTAGATTATGT